AGCTGTCTTTCTTGGTGACATTGTTGAGAAGGCGGTAGTCTACGCAAAATCTTGTTGAGCCGTCTTTCTTTTTCACTAGTACTACAGGTGACACCCAAGGGCTGCTAGAAGGCTCGATGACACCATCCGCTTCCATCTCCTTTATGATTCTCTCGGCTTCGTCACGTTTTGCCAGTGGGAGTCGTCTAGGGGCCTGACGTATGGGTTTTGCATCTCCGGTGTCTATCTTGTGTTGTACTATATTCGTCCTTCCTCTAGGGCCACTTCCGTACTCAAAGACATCTTGCCATCTAGTAATAAAGTCCTTTATTTTTGCACTTTCTTGATGCGTCAGCTCCTGACAGGTACTCTCTACGAAATCTTCTAGCTCCTTTGGTAATCTATTTGGAGATGGCGGGCATGATTTTAGTTGACGTACCACCGAATTAACAGCCACGCACGTTCCGATCGTTACTCCTCTTTTTATCGTAACAGGAAAACCATTCAAGTTCATCAGTTGCACCGGATTTTCATGTCCTAAGTTAAATAAGGATCTGGCGACAAAGACACCACGTCCAAGCTGGGATTCACTGTCACTTGCTGGCTCCAGCAGAACACTTTGCCCACTAGTCCAATCTCCTTCGACTGTGGCTTGAACGATGACCTGGCTGCGCGCTGGTAGCGTTGTGTCTTCCAGTAGAAGTACGCGTGCAGAGATATCTTTTCCACGCCGAAGTATGACATCTTCGTCTCCGAGAGTCACTAGTCCTCTTGACATGTCCAACTTCAGTCCGTACTTCACCATTATATCGGTTCCCAAAATCACGTCCTCGTCTATGTCGGCAACAAGTGCGCAGTGTTGAAACACGCAGCCGCCGATGTGGAAGGTAGCAACCGTCTGCCCATAGACCTGAGCCAGCTGACCTGTAGCTGTACGTAGAGACCATGATGTTGGTGAAATATCTTCCGTCGACACAGTGTTTGGATTCAGGATGGTCATAGTCGCCCCGGTGTCCAGAAGACAGCTTTGGAGACGCCCGTTCACCTTTCCGTCGACGTAGAAACTGCTCGACTGACTTCCCAGTGAAGCAACTTTACCACTTTTCCTCGGGGCTTTCCAATCGCGGGCTGACGGTTGCCCCTTTCCATCAACCCTCCTTAGTTTTCCTGATTCGGTTCTGGTGTGGTCGAAGGACATTTACTCCGGGGATGTCCCATCTGTCCGCAGCTCCAACAGCGTATCTGCCGGCGACGAGTTTTTAGTGCCTCCAGCACTCTCTTTACTAGCTCCTCGATGTCCAGTGGAGTTGTAGGTTCTGCGTCTGCCACGCGGACTCGAGCCTGGCCCCTCACCGACTGTCGCACAGCCTCGAACTCCAGTGCCTGTGTCAGTGCGTCACTCAGGGTCTTTGGTCTGGCGAGCTTCACTGCCTGTTGAGTCTCAGGTTCACGTAGACCGTCTAGGAATTTATCCACCGCCAAACTCTCGTAGACATCATCCGTGACCGATGGATAGGCGTTTCTCACCAGGCGAGCAATGTCGGCTTCAAACTCCTGGAGTGACTCACTGGACTTCTGGATCCGGTTCCGCAGCTGTGATCGGTAGAGCTGGTCCATGTGTCGATGCCCAAAGCACATGTCCAATCTCCTCACTAGTTCTGGGAAATTCTTCCGCTCCGCCATTGGCATAGCATGCAGAACAGCTAATGCATCGCCCCGTAGTGCAAGGCACAGTGCTGAAGCCTTTGTCTCCTCGGTCCACCCATGGACCATAGCCGCTGTCTCGAAGAGAAGCATGTAGTCCTCCCAGGGAGTTTTGCCATCGAAGTGAGGGACGATGTTCTGAGGGGCAACGGCAGCAATGGTGGGCGCTGGCTTGGAGATCGTTTCTAGGACGTTATCCTGCTCAAGTTCGCCAGTGCTAGCCGATGACGCAGGTGTGAAGCTCCCCGATGCAGCCATTTCCTGCCTAAGCTTAACTAACCTATCTTCTAGATTTTTTTCTATACAATTAAATTTCTCATCCATTTCATTAATCCTACTTTCTAAATCATCAACTTTGCTAGAATACTCATCTAACTTGTTCAGCATTTTTGATTCTACATTCGACATTTTTGACTCAATGCTAGCTTCTAAGTTTTTGTTATTTTCTGACATTTTTGACTCTAATGCTTTACTGTTTTCTAATATTTTTGACTCAATATTTGCTTCTAGGTTTGACATTTTTGAATCTAATGCTTTGCTATTTTCTGACATTGACTCTAATGTTTTGCTATTTTCTGACATTTTTGACTCCAACGCTTTGCTGTTTTCTAACATTTTTGACTCAATATTTGCTTCTAGGTTTTTAAGCATTTTATTAAAATCAGATGTTTCAAATAAAACGTTATCTAGGTCTTCACCTGCATCAATTAAAGCTTGTTTAAGGCGTGCCTGAAGGGCTGATTTAGTTCCACTAGTATCTAGATCTCGTTCTTCTAATTCTCTCCTAAGATCAACTACTTTTAACTCATCAAGTTTCACACCTTTGAAAGCCATTTTTATGCCAAACAATTAAACTAATTTTACAATAAATGATTTTTTCCTTTGTAAACAAATTTACGACACAAATTACTAATATGTAACTAAGACCTCGAATCTTACTAATATCTAATACAACTCAAATTAAACTCAAGATTTTACAATTAAAATCGCCAAAATAATGCCGCTTTCTGACACCAATTGTTGCGGGCTTAGCAGGTTCTTTACAAATAAAACTTGGCGATTTTAAAATAGCTATTTTATTTACACTAATATTCTGTATTTACAATAATTACAATTTCCTAAAACCTAACTAACCCTATCTAAACCTAGCTAAAGCCTATTCTAATTTACAATGATTCTACTTTCAGCTAACCTTTTACAGGATTTATCACTACTTCTGTTACAGCACTGTCACTACACTGTCACTAGTGTCACTACACTGTATCTACACTGTTACTGCCACTAGCACTGGTCACTAACACCGACGGGCGCTTGCCGCGACGATTCTCGGAAGGCTCAACTCAACTCAACTGCCGTGTGCCGGAAGACGGTCCCTTATATAAGCTTGCCGTGGAACATTCTGGAGGCACCTAGTAGCCCAAACAAAGCTGTTTACAGATCACCGTAGAAGCTTCTGGTGGATGTCAAAGACCCTATTGACGTAGTCCGTTGACATGGGTCTATTGTCTTTCACTGGCACGTACGGAGAAACCCGGGTAAACAAACAACCCTTTTGAGACGGCGCCTGGCTATTGTTGCGCGGGGCTCCTGACTTGTAACAATAAATAAGGTGTTTATTTCCAAGCGTTCATCAAAGTACAAACTCTGTTTTTCATGACAACTTTGGTCAAATTAAGTAAATAAAACAATACAATAGTCTATTCATAAAATAAAAAATAAAAATATCTATACAGTTTAGGTAAACATTTCCTTTACACATTTCTTAAACCTATTACAACTGTACTCTTTTAAAGTGGGTGGCAAAGCATTGTACTTTTTTGGGGAAACTAAACCCCTTTTTCCCCGTTTCCAGTTTTGTCTTTGGCAAGTGCAACACAGGCTGTCCTGTCGAGTACTGTGTTCACTTATTTCATGTCTAAATACCAACTTTTTCCTAAGGTATTCAGGTTTTCCCGTCTGAAGAACGTTGTGGACCAGATTTACAGTTTGTATGTCAGAGTACCCCATGATTGACAACGCCTTGGCACTCAATCTGTGCTCACTAATGTGATCAATTTTTTCAGATTGTAGACAAATCTAAGCACTCTGTTCTGCAGCCGGGTAAGGATCATCAGATTTTCCTGAGTAAGGCAACAGGAAAAAGCAGGAAGAGCATAGTATATAACAGGAAAAATGGTTGAGCGGACAATTTCCAACTTAGAAAGTTCTGGCAAAATTGAGCTTAGTCTGCGAAGAGTTTTCAAACGTATTGTTACTATAAAGGTTACTTACAGTCTTCGCAATCCTGTTAATTGAGCACTACGGCCGTTTCGGAGATAACTCCATCGTCGGGTGCGTAGTCATTATACACTAATCTGAGCTATTTACATATTTACATTTTTTACGTGGTTTCTTCATTTTCATTGCGTCAAAGTTTAATAAATAGTACATACAACACAAAACACGAACACGACACGAAAACATTAAGGCACGTGCACGGCTAAAAACTGACGACCAACTGATCGAACTTTATCACTGCAAAGGTTTGGTGGACGACTGGAACAGCTGATAACACGTGTACCAACATAGCTGCTCAAATTATACCTTGTGCTGTTTGATTTGTATTATTTTCTCAAAAATTGGATTGGCTGCTGAATTAGTCTGGGAATTAATTATTAAGTTCGGTTCTTTAGCTTTACTGGTGTAAATGTGGAAATTTTCAATACAATTAAGTTTGTGACCTTTGCTACCAATGTGGAGTATTTCTAAACTATTAATTTCAGAGTAGTCGTGGCAATACTGTTGGATGTGTTCTGCATAATTTGAGACAGGATTTGGTTTCTTGATAGCACTTATATGTTCTTTATATCTGGTCTTAAAACACCTACCAGTCTGTCCGATATAGTAGGAATCACATTCTCCGCATTTAAGCTTATACACGCCTGACTTCTCTAGTATAGGCGTAGTATCCCTTTGTCGTGGAGCTGACAACTTACGTTGAAGGTTGTTGCTAGTTCTGTATTCAACTGAATAGTTATGCCTACTAAAAGGACGAGTTGCTAAACGTTGGTTGAGTTTACAGAACTCTAGTGTCACGTACTTTTTATCAGTTTTTTCTTTGGCAATTTTATTATTAGCTTTACTCTTGATTCTCCTGTGTAGTTTATCAATCATGTCAGAGCTGTAACCGTTATTCAACGCAATGTATTTTATTGTGTTAAGTTCATTTCTATAATTTTCTTCACTTAAAGGTATGTTAATCAATCTGTAGAGCATTGAATTGTAGGCTGCAATTTTGTGAGAGTGGGGGTAATTAGAGCTGCTATGGATGGTTGTGTCTGTACTGGTTGGTTTTCTAAAAATATTAAAAAGGTGTTTGTATCGGATTTTGTTATTGTCAGGTCAAGGAAGTTGATAGAAGAGCTTTTCTCGTGTTCTATTGTGAATTTAAGTCTAGGATGGATATTATTAAGATATTTCCCAAACAGGTCAATTTGTCTGTTATTGCCTAGATTAATCTTGTATTGTTACTGTTTTACAGATAGCTTTGACATGGTGAAAAAAATCAAGTTGTGAATCGAGAGTGACACCGAGAATCTTAAGAATATTACTTGAAATCAGTGGTTTTCCATCAACAAAGATACACTGTTTAACACAACTATTCACTGAGTGGGCACCAGAAGATGGCCTATCTACAAGCAAGACAGAACACTTACTGGAGTTCAATAGCAAACCATGGTCATTCGACCATCTATTTACACTCTCTAAATCATTGTTGATACAACGAATAGTCTTAGCTGTTTCTGAGGGCTTATAAGAAATTAGCAGTTGGGAATCATCGGCATAAGAGTGTAAAGAACAGTGACTCAATTTATCTTTCAAATCTGCAGTGTATATAAGGAATAGAATAGGCCCCAAGCAACTGCCTTGAGGAACACCGACAAACCTTGGAAGTGCTGACGAGAGCTGTCCATTAACCTTTGTACATTGAGTACGCCCGGTCAAGTACGTTGAAAACCACCTCACTGAGATGTCGTTAAACTGATAAAACCTCAGCTTTGCAAGAATCAACTCGAAATTTACCGAATCAAACGCCTGAGAGAAGTCATCACACTGTTTAGGCCCTTATCTTTTGCAACGATCATTTCGTCAATAACATTGAGAAGAGCTGAACAAGTGCTAAACCCCTGCCTGAAACCTGACTGTGTTTCAGGAAGTAATCCTTCAGATTCTAAATGAAAGACTAATTGCTCGGCCACAACCTTCTCCAGTATTTTGGACATAACAGGGAGGATCGAAATAGGTCGGAAGTCAGAA